AATAACCAAAACCTGAATTAGATCAGTAGTGGGATACAGTGACTTCTACAGCAAATGCACTAGTGATTTAGTAATGGGGTACATTTGGCTCACAGATTTAGCAAGCATCTAGGAAGTGTTGAGACTAGCCAAGTTGTTCCCACTATACTGATTAAGAACGATAACATAGATATTACTAGAAGACTTTGTGTGCTAACAGTCTGTAACAGAAACTATTAAGCCATTTAATTAAAGCTTTACTTAAAGTATTTAATGTTTCACAGTTACTAAAAACAGTAGAACAGTGTTGAGATGGGGAAGAAGTTCCAGGAGTTTGGTGGATATTTCTTCTCTCAGTTAAGCATAATTTTGGAGATTATGATGGCAAAATGTCAATGCTCACCAAAGTAATTAATACCAGTGAATCAGGTCATTTGTCTCCTAAATTGGAAGCATGAATTTCATGGGGAGAGAGTGTGTATCTCAAAAAGAGTTCTACTATGGGAGAAACTTACAGGGGATTTCATTGTAGAAAGAAAGCAAACAGAGCTTTTATGGGTGGTAGGGTTCAAGTAGGTTGCTGCTGAGAATCTCTGTCTAGGAGTTAAGAATTCTTGGACAGAGAAGAGGAGAGGTGATCTGGTCAATCAAGCTGTCCCAGTCACAGATCTCCAGGAAGCATGCATCTGCCTCTCTATGCCAGCCAGGATGGACTGGTGTTTCAGGACACACATTTATGTGTTCAATCACACCCACTAGGCAGGTGTGCTCAGTAGAGTCTTGTATTAAAGGAGAAGGAAGATAAAGAAGAAAATCCAGTACATGAGCCAGTTTCTCTAAACATGGCATTTCCTGTCCTGGTTAGGACAAAACTACCTACAGAACCAACAGTCAAACACCAGAGTACCAAGCAAGAGGGTGTTGTTATTCTGTTTCATTTAAATTTGTAATTATCTAATTATTTCATATGAATTTATTTTAAAACATATTGCAAAGCAAGTGGATAAACTAAAACTAATCAAATTATTTTATTAATCGCAGTATTGTTATATTATTATAGCTTTGGTATCTGGGAAAAAGAGGCTTGTTACATAATGTTCTTTCTAAACTGTTTAGCATTCGCAACATGTTTAGCAAATATCAAGACTGGGGAATAAATTTATGGTATCAGTACTTAAAAGATACATAGTTAAATGTATCAGGCAAATGCATACATAAGCAAATATGATAGTTGAACACAATTGGTTGTTTATAGATACAAAGAGTCCTATAATACTTTATTACATAAGTATTACTTTTAAAATTTCACTAGGTGGCAGGCTTAGCTAATGTATTACTACTTAGTTTAAAAAAATAAAGTTAATTTATATGTAAGATGCAAGTCACATATATTTTGTTGCAAATAGAATTTCAGCCACAGAAGTCACTCAAATACAATCAGGTCCTACATTTTAATTACCATTCACTCACTCACTCACTCACTCACTCAGTCACTCACTCTAGCTCTACCTCTAATTCTGTTCTATCTAATGAGTTAGCGAAGGAAGCCTTATACATATAGATACCGTTTATGCTCCATGGGAAAATAAAAAGCCTCCAAGAGATAAAATATATTTCCATCCTTTTGAAGCTTTGTTTGCCTCATAGCTACTCATTAACTAGTGTCTTGATGTCACTTCACATAGGAGCAGCCTGGTCTGCCACAGTTTATCATCATTAGTAATGTGCATAGGCTGATAACCATTAAGTTATGCTACCTCTACAGACAGTTTGCAGAGAGTTAAATCATGAGACCAGAGATTTCTAATAATAGACCTTCATTGATTCTTTCTCAAATTAGATGTTAGACAACAGCCCACTAGTCTTAGAACAATGAAAAGGCCAAGCCTAGCACTCTTTACACTGGCTAAGGTGGCACACTTGATATTTCCTAGATATTCCTAATAATGTTGTTTTAAATATCTGGGTTTCTTTCTCACATACCCACTCTTTATTATTGTGGTGAGAAATTGGATTTTTTAAATCTGAATCCCAGAGAATGAATACAGCAAACATGTTGTTTTCTTTTTCTTTGCTTCAATTCTTTCAGTAAGGTGCCTACTGAGAGATATTTCTAAAGAAGGGATTACCCTCCTGTGGTTTGAGGAGATAATACAGCTAGTTCTCTTGCTTTGTAATAGACGATGGAAACTCCCACCAGCAAACATCAAAGTACCAAGCAAGAGGGTGTAACTGGAGTCTGGCCAAAAGGAGATTTGCTGAATCCACTAAGCAGCCAGAGGCACTATGATAAGTTCATGTGATGATTTGGCACAGACCATTTCCAGTCTGCGGACACTGAAATGGTAATGTCAGGCTAAGTACCCTATATTCTTGCAGAAAGGAGGTACAAATGGAAATAGCAAACATGGAATCTCAAGTATAGAGTACAGAATCCAGTGCATAGATAAGCTATAAGCGTCTGTGCTGATTGATCCACTTTAATGGCATTATGTATTTATATAAGTTTGGTGATCTCCTATTATTTAATATTGGCTGTGACATCCCATATGTTAAATACATCTAGTGATATTATTGTATTTATTAAATAGATAACTTTCAAACTCCAAAGGTGATATAAGTTTTAATAGTTGGATGGTCCAAAAATCAGCTGATATTTTTTGAGGTTGCTCTTGTAATTTTTTCAGGAGCTTTCTTAGTGAAGGGCTCTATATGATAAACTACCATCATGATATTTGAATGAAAAGACAAAGATGATGAAAGCACATTGTTTGGGATGCACACAGTATAGACTGTCTGTAAACTAAAAGACACAACCCTATGTCAACTGCCAACTCTTCATCCCAACTGCATGAGCCAGCTTCAGAAAACAGGTCTTAAAAGATTTGCTAGTTAATGATATATAACAAGATAGGCTGTGGTGGGCCCTGAAAAGAGTGCCTGGCCTTTCTAGATGTTTCTGTTTCATAAGAGAAAATCCCCTGGAGTGTAGGGCAGTAGATAGTGTGAAAATCAAATGCCAGGGAGCTTTAGGGATGAATTTTCACTTCAAAAGATTTAAAACTTCTCATCTTAACTGGATTCCAGAGGAAATTTAAAAAACATCTTTTATTTCAAACATGTAAAGGTTGAAGAGAAAAGCAAACAAGAAAGCAGTTGCATTGTAGGAAGAAATGCTAAGAAGAAAAAACAGCTGAAAAAGTGGTAAAGCTTCTATAAGGCATAGCAGTGGTTCAGCAGAAAGGGTGTCTGCCATGAAAAGGGGCATGCTATTGTGTTCTCTCTCTCTCTCTCTCTCTCTCTCTCTCTCTCTTTCTCTCTCTCTCTCTCTCTGTCTTTTTCTCACACATGCAACAATAATAATAATCATCATAATAATAATATTTAAATTCCTGCCATGTGGCTAAATGTTTCACAACCCACCCATAATCATCTGGACTCTCTTCCTTATAAGACATTCAAAATAAGGACATGTCACTCAAATAAAATGACTATTTTTTAATGTTAAACCTCATAAATAGGAATTATAATTAGGTTATTGTTTACTTCACCCTTCTTACATGTTACTTAGACAAAGAAATAGAATCTGCCATCAAAACTAAGATAAGGACATGAAATTGCCTACGCCTCTCTTGTTGATAATGCAGGAATGACTTCAGGGTTCCTAAAGGCCCACCTAGATAAAGCAGAGGATGTACAAGTTTTAGGTAGAATTCTGAAGGAGTGTGTTCTGAAGAATGGTTTAGTGTGTTAACTTGAATGGTAGGGAGCCCTTGGAAAGAGACCCACAAGGAAGTCATCAGGAACCATTGGTCCATCTGGGAACAGGTCCCGGAATGCTGCTGAAATGTCAGCCTGCCACCCTTATGTAGTAGGAACAAGATGTATCAGCAAGTCTTCTCTCAGCATCAGGAAATTAAGAGTCCGGGAAATGTAAAAGCCCTCTCAGCTCTCAGGCTTAGGCTGGGACTCTTGTTTTAAAACAAAGGCATCCCTTTGTAAAGTGCTGTTAAGCAATGAGCTGCTGAAGCAGGAGGGGGTCCTCAGCATGAGGATTTAGAGGAAATGGAGTTGATTTGTTCTTGAAACTCAAACAAATGGCTTATGTCTCATACTTTTCAGTCAGTGCTAGTCCTTGAGGTTCGGGCATGAGTTAGAACTACTAGTGGATACTTTAAGTTACATTAAATTAGTTTAACTAAAAGGCATTGTTTGGGAGAGGAAGAATATTACCATAGGAAATAACTACTGGAGAAGCCCAAAAATGTTAGAATCAGCCAAACTATAGGTGATGCATGAAGATCAGATAGACCAGAGCAACAACAGAAGCAAAAACAGAGTCATCTATTATACTATCATGACACCCTTCACTATGAGGGTAAAAAAAGTCAAATATGTGTATGTGGACATGTGGGTTTTTCACTGTATAAAAGAGACATATGGAAAGAAAGTAATGTCAAAACATACTTCACTCATGTGTTAACATCTCTATTAATGCTTTAGCACTGACTCAAGTTCACTGGTGAAATTTATCTAAATTATGGTATTTTCTCATCAGCTCATTGTACCAAGATTTGAACATTAGAGTATGATATTAGGATAGGAAGTCATAGCTCTGGAAAGCTCATAGAATGGACACAAGCATCATGTGAATTTTTTAGCAATCTAAATGTTCATATATTTTATTTTAATACCAGCCACAAAGTAATGTTAATAACTTCTTAAATCAACTTTATGAGTTTCTCTTCCATGCTGTTTCACAATTATGGAGATAAAATGTGTAATAAAAGGAAAATTGCTGAATTTATTTTTTCTTGCAGTACTAATATCATGGTTAAAATATTTTTAAAAATAGTGTTTCATTTTTCTTGTATTTTACAGATCATTTTATGTGGCAGTGCCTGCAGTTGTAATTGGATGTAGTTTTATGCCCATGGCTAAGAATCACTCATTCGTAAATATGTTATTACAAAAACATGCCATATTGGATTATTAGTGTGATGACTTTTTCTTTAATTTAGGTTGTTTTCCAGTCTCAGTATTATCACTGAGCTTACTCACCCAGCAAATATGAGATTCATGCAATTCAGAGCCAAGGACTGTTACTCTCTTGCACTTTCAAAACTGGAAAAGGTAAGACCAATATTAAGAAAGTTTGTCCATTTGGGTTCAAAGAATCATGGAAGATATACCTTAAAAGAAAAGTAGGCTTTGGTTATTGCTGACTTCTGTCATATTACTGGTACAGCCTGAGCCAAAGCCAAATTTGCTGCTGACCTAGGCAAGGGAGACTACCACATCAATAGAGCTGTGGTGTGATACCAAAGTACAAAAAGCAGAAGCAACATGGACTAGGGGCTGGAAATTTGATTTAATAAGAGTGTTTCAAGGAAGTCAGCTAATTAGGACTATATCATTTGGATGCTAAACAAATCAATAATTTTACAATTATGTTCTGTAGATGTTAAGATTTGGTTTCTATTCTCATGGGTCAAGCTGAGTATGGTTCATGGCTTCTCAACTCTTGGATAATACTAGACTTGTAGGCAACTTCTCAGAGGGGGAACTTCATGACTGATCAGGAGAAGCTTCATAGTTCTGCAATCGTCAAGAGCAAAGATCAACGTTTCAGCTCTTTCTCATGTGATTAGCTTGCTCAAGTAAAGACATATTGCCCAATGGTCAAACTAACAGGAACTGCCTGACTTTTGCTAATCACCAACTTTGGTAATGCAAAGACATCAACAAGAGTTTTCCTGTATGTTGCTTATGGCAAGTACAAGCCCTGCTGAACAGAGTCAGATGGAATATCTTGTCTCGATGATGGGTTTCATTATTATGATAGACACTGCCTGAACTTCTGAAAGACACGTGGTGCTAAAGTGGTTTCAGTACTCTCTTTATATTTCAATCTCCATAGCAAACACATATGTTATGTTAGTCTACTCTTACGATTCTATTCTTTGGGTTTAGTTAAATCATTGGTATTCTCTACCTACTGATGGACAAAATGAGCTTGATGTGTTTTAAATAGGACTATCAGGATTATGCAGCTCTCAAATCAATGTTGTTTGGCAAACATAGAGCCATGGGAGCTCATAGCAAATCCTGGATGCCACACCACTTTAACACTCTAAAAGTCTTTTAGTGAGGGTTAAATGGGCCCAGTTTTCAAAGGTAATTCCAGTAATTAGGAGTCTGAGTAGAAATGGTGATGGCGTGTACTTTCAACATTGTCCTGACAAGTGAGGTGGGAAGACACAGTAACAAAGAGCCAAGGCTCTGGAGTCAGAAGCCAGCTCTCCACACTTCTCAGTAATGGAACGTGGATTAATTATTCTCTTGTTTCTGGACTTGAAATATTATCTGGAAAATGGCACTGAGAAGTAAATAATGTCATATAAAGATTATGGTTCAAAATAAAGACAAACAACCCAATAATTTATCATATAACTATTTGAATGATAATAAAAGGATAAATTGTATTTGTTTACATTGTTACAAATCACAATCCTAATCTTTATCATCAATTATTTGCAAAAATATTGGATGCAGAAATGTCATAATTGTGTATAATGTTTTTAGCATTTATTAGTGGCTAAATCTGTGCGATTATGTTTCTTGCACTAAATATAAAAAAGACAAAATGGAGATTTTTTTATAAATCTTTTTTAAACATTTAATTAAAAATTAAATTTATTTACATCTTAGAAATCTTTCCTAATATTATAGAAAACTTCATGTGGATATTGGTAGAAAAAGCTAGTATGTCATATTACATAATACAATAAGCAGATAATAAATGCTGTATCGGTTATTTATATGTAACATTTAAATAACCAATAGCACACATTTTGAGTGTATATCAACCAATTATCTACCTCTGTTCCTATATAGGAAAAAATGAAATTTGTATATCTTGGTAACAAACAAGAAGCCATATTACTGAGCAAGGGCCATGTGCTCTTCTCCTATGAAAATGTATTCCGTGGATTTCCCTTTGTTTCACAGGGATATTTATTGTGAGATTGTCCAGGAGAGGGGTCAGTAGTGAAAACTTGTTAGGGTATTGTTGATTGGATGAAAGAAAATGGGAATATGGGGATCTTTGATGAGGCAAAGATGATTTTTCTAGTGAAGCAGCTCTTTCTATATGTTAAATGTTGACATTGTGATCATACAGGAATGGGAAATTGGAGTCCCTTTTTGGGCTCTTAGTCTTATTAATAAAAATCTTAACTTGGACTCAAGCAGAGCTCAAGGACAATAAGTGACATACTTATAACTAGAGAGGAATTGTGTAGGAGGAATAGGAAAAAATGTTAAAGTTTGTTTTGCATATAATTTTGTACATCATCTTAAATCAAATTCGAATTAAATTAAATTGAACTTAAATTAGATTGAATTAAAGGTAATGAATATTTATTGGGCAGCCACTACATGTGCTCAAAATGCCTTGCCAAATATTGGCAGTTTTAAAATTGAACAAAAAGCTTGGGAATTATAATTTGATGGCTAACACAGATATATAAAAATTCATAAGAGAATATTGTCTAACTTTTTATTTTCTGTAAAGACAACTATCTTGAATTATTGAATTATTCATTAAAAACTCAGGCTCTGTAATTGCTAAATTGAATTGTGGTATCAGATGCCAGCACTGAATTTGATCCATTAGTAAAAATTCATATACTGTTTTTATGAATGCTATTTTATTCTTTCCTTATATAATTTTTTTCAAATGTACTTGAAGAAATATAGTTTTTATTTCTTTACAAAACAGTGACAAATGTAATTTATATGAATAACAATTTTCATATATTAATTAAGTTTTAAAACAGCAGGTTTATGATCTTCACATTGGGCTATTTTAAGCACTAGTAACATAGAGATGCATAGGTATATGATAGGAAGGAAGAAAGAAAGAAAAAAGGAGAGAAAGGAAGGAGGGAAGAAAGAAAGAAAGGGAAAGGAAGACAGATGGGTTCTAAAACAAAAAGAAACTTTCTTTGAGTCATGAAAAAGTTCAATCTAGAGTGACAAAATCTATGAAATATTTTGATTTAAATACACACACACATACACACACAGGCAAGGTATTTTTTTTATCATTTTTTATTTTAATTTTAAATAGCTTGTTTTACATGTCAATCCCAGTTCCCTCTCCCTCCCCTCCTCCCGCACTCCCCTTCCCCCCCACCCTCCCACCCTATTGCCAAATCCTTCCACATAGGGGATATCTAGAGTCTGTCATTTTACTCTGGGTAGGGTCCAGGCACTCCCCTAAGAGTCCAGGCTGAGAAAGCATCCCTCTTTGTGCTATAGGCACATGAAGACTGTTTGTATACCAGGGATGGGACTGATCTGGACCCCCCAAATGTGAGTGTCAGCGAGAAGGCCTGGGCAACCTATGGGGCCCTGAGCTGTGGATCAGTGTCTATCCCTGGTATACAGGCAAGGTATTTTTTAAAATCCAATTTTCTATTTCTCTTCTAGGTTTACTAGTACTTCCATTTCTTTCATTATTTTGTTCTCTTCCTAGTTTGTAAAGCACAAAATAATTTTTCCTCTAGAAAGAAAAGACAAAGCACTCATTTAGTTCTCTAATCTAGTAAAATAGGCATAATTAACATCAAGACTCAAATAGAAAAAAGAGAAAGAGAGAGAAAAAAAAACTCTGGAAGCAGTGGATGGAGAAATTATTAAGCAGTTAAGAACACTTGCTGCTCTTCAAAAGATCTGTGTCCAACTTCTAGTGTCAGCATTGTGACTTTCAAATGTCTGTAACTCCAGTTCCAGAAGATTTGATAACATCTGGCGGTCGCTGTGGACACCAGACACACATGTAGTACACATACATACATACATATATACAGACATCGGTTCACATACATCAAATAAAACTAAAATATATATCTTACAAATACGTATAAAAGGAAAAAAATATACCTTGAAACCAACACAGCAGCTAGTAAATACACTGAGAAAATCACACATGTGCATCCTAGTCTTTCTCCATGTCTTTTGTTTTTAATTTTATTTTAGAAGCACTCTTAATTTACATAACAATACCCCCATTCTCTCACCCTCCCATCCTCCATGCCCCCCACCCAGAGCCTTCATTCAGTAGCTGATCTCAGCAGAAGTAGACACCCACAGCTAAGCACTAAGACAAACTCCTGGAATCCAGCTGTAGAGAGGGAGGAGGGATGAGCAAAGGAGCCAAGATCATGCTAGAGAAACCCACTGAAAGAGTTGGCCTGATTTAGTGAGAGAACAGAGACCCTAGTTGTAAAGCTGGGGAACCAAGTCCTCTGAATGTGGGTGCCAGCTAGGAGGCCTGGGTAGTCTATGGGACCCCTAACAGTGTTTATCCCTAGTGCACAAATGGACTTTGGGAGCCTACTCCCTATGGAAGGATAGTATTTCTCCATATCGTACAAAAGTTACCTGAAAGCCTCTGTGTCTAATATGTTTTGCTTAGCCAAAGCTGCTTAGATTCACGTTCAGAAAATGTTTCAGAGAATAAGTTTACCACTTTCAATGAACAAATTTCTCTATCACATGTAAACATATTTCATTTTACAATTATTAAACCTGTCTTCAAATCATTTTAACTCATATAACAAGAACCTAGAATGGTAGTCCTTGTGTGATCACTCATTTTATGATATATTCACTTTCAGAATCATTAGCAGATTTGTTGAATATTGACATATCCAAATCTTTTGTTTTGTAAAAAATGTCCTCTAGAACCTTCAATTATTCATATTTGTAACCATTACATTTGCCTTTTTTCTTTTCTTTTTTTACTTAAGTATTTTTGCTCTCTTTCTTATTTTTTTCTTTTCTTTGTTTTTCTTTCTGTTTTTCGAGACAAGATTTCTCTGTAGATTTAGAGTCTGTCCTGGAGCTACCTCTGTAAACCAGGCTAGACATGAACTCACAGAGATCTGTCTGCACATGCCTCCCAATTAAAGGCATGTATACCATCGCCTGACTTTTTTTTAATTATTTGTTTATTTGTATTTTATGTGCATTGATGTTTTGCCTACAAATATGTCTGAGTGAGGAATTGGATCCTCTGGAGCAGGAGTTACAGACACTGTGAGCTGCTATGTGAGTACTGGAAA